GTTTGAAGCCCCGGGGCTTCATAACCATTACCAGTGCTCTAAGAGTCAAGAAACCGGTTGACATCACAAATGATAATTGTCATTGAATTTGTAAAAACTTATCATGTGTACAAATTTATAGACAATTGTCATCTGTTATGTCAACTGTGATGGATTCCGAACATTTTCTCTTTTGTTTGAAAAATGATAAATGTACCTTGATTTTGACCCTACTTTAAACTCTTATCTTTTTCCAACTGTTCAACACTATTTGAATATTTGTAAGAAAAGTGAGGTGAAAAGTAAGGTCAAAATTAAAGACCCCAAGCATAACTCTTTTTGTTTAACTGTTTAACTAAGAATAAGGGTTGGGGCTTGTCAAAAATGAGTCAAGCCAACACTATTCCGCCGGATAGCCTTTTTTCAATCCTCAGTTGTTTATGGTGTGAAGGTTGTGTTAAGATGTGATAAAATAATATAATCATGTCACGACTAGTTTTGTAAATCTTTTGATGTAGTTTTTAAATATGAATTTTTTTTAATTCTATAATATTTTTTATATAAAATGATTTGAAAATATCTTGAATCAAATATCCTAAACCGAAACAAACGATTTAAATTTGGGATGGGCGGAGTATTATTTACGTCCCAAAATAATTTTTCTACTTTAAATCTACAGAAATCGAGAATAACATTGAAAAAATGTGCCCAAGAAGTTGAAAAACATAACATGATTGATGAAAACATTTTGGATCACATATCTTCTACTCTATCAAAGAGGCCAAAAAAAAGGAAAATATTTATTTTGAGAGCAGCTGACCAAGTAAAACTTGGCATTATCTACGTCCAGGGGCAGTGATGCAGTCCATCCAAGTACTGACACGTGTCCCCAGCACATGACATAGTTTTTTGGACATGGGTGATACAAAACCATATGCCATATTCATTATGACCATTTCTGGGAGAGAAGCATCCAGAGCACATGATCCCCTCTCAATTATTACTCGGTCAATTCCAAATTATTAGTTCGATTTAACTTTTTTTGAGTCAAACTGGACAAATTTTAAAAATCAATTATATTAAATTTTAAACATAACATATGAATACAAATTAGTACTCCGTAAAATACGTAATCTTAAGAATGAATGCCTGGGTTCTGTCATGGCTTGTGCATCAGTTTGTACAGCTCAAGTCCTCCCCTGTGGCACCCTGGCATTTTGCTGGCTAAGCTCTCCAATTCACTCTGATCAACAATCCATCAATTTATAAGCAATTTATAAGTCAGCTTATAAGCACAGAGAAACATGTCATCAGCTGACAAAAATAGGGTTTAGACAGTTTTGAGAAACACCACTTAGTATTGGAGGATGCATCATGCATGGTGAAACATTAAGTAGAAAACATATAAACTTGCCATTGAAACAGCCTGAAGTTGGGTTGATTCAAAACTGTCTTCTGCACCGGAATACATGTCCTGAATTTCCTTAGCCGGAAGATTGCATTTTATGAAGAAAAAGGCAGTTGGTCGAACATTCAACACCCTTTGTGATATGCCTATAAAGATGGGGGTGGACTGCAATTTTTTTAAAATTTTAACCGCATCAGTAACTAAAAATCCTCTAACAATTTTTAGCAGTCAAAAGGCTAAAATGAAAAAAAATGCACGTAGAAAAGAGAGGAAAAGAAAAGGTTTGACATACGAGATTAGCTGCAGGAACGCCAGTTTCTTCCACAACTTCACGGGAAATGCTATCAAACATTTCTTGAGAAGCTTTTCTGTTAATAATCTCGCAGTGATTCGGGTCTGTGTCACTCTTAGGGCAAGTCAATCCAACTGCATTGGGCTGTCAAGTAGCAAAGTATAGCTAAAGACCCCACAAATATTCGGCTAATTTCACCTAGGAGAGAGCATTGTAGTACCCCAGTGCAGCACGGTTCCGGAACCAAACCGCTGGTTCCCACTTTGAAGAATTGAAACTGAATTTTATTCTTTTTTCTTTGAGTTTTTTTTTATATACCTCTGGGTGGCCGCCAGGGAAAACAAAATATCCAGGAAATTCTCCCACGTTATTACTTCTTCGAAGCACAAGTATCTTTTTGTCAGACGTCTCCACAATTGCTCCATTGCCAAGAGGATTTGATGTATGCTGACACTGCGAGCAATCATCTACAAGGAAGCAAGGAATTGTTTTTAGCATGTACATACATTATCTCCATAATAGGATTTAGGATTTCTTCGAGAACATTTGTAATTAGCGCTACAATTTTGAATACCTTTTCAACGGTGCATACAAGCATTTAAAAACACTAAAGTTAAATGCTATCATTGGATAGCTTTTCGAAAACGCAAAATAAAACTCTAAACCTGATGCAAAACGGGAGCTTACACTACCTCCGTTACAAAATCGTGGTCACATTTGTTGGCACATAGTTTACAAAAAAGTGGGGTGAGAGAAAGAAAACAGTGGTAAGAGAAGGAAAAGGTGAGGTGTGGTGGATAGGATTATTAAATGTGTTTTCTATAAAAGTAAACAAGTATTATGAAAAATATGGAGTACTTAATATGGATAAACAAATCTTGGCCAGAGAGATTACTTGTTTACTGAATACTTGTATTAAGCATGAACCCATAAATATGCATATGACCAGGGGCAGATCTATTTATTAAGGAACATGGGGTCATGCAATTTTCCAAACAATAGACAAACAAGACTCATATACATGTTGCAACAACAAACCCTGTACAATCAAATTTCCGTTGGAGTTTGGTGGTCAAGATATACACAGTCTTACCCCGGTGAAAACAAAGAGACTATTTCCGTTAGACCTTTAATGCATTGTGGCATTTACCACCCAAAACTTCATTGAAGGTAAGAAGCAAGGGAAGTTTAATGTGTCATTCTGATTTAGCCCATTATTCACCTGAAGCTACATGTGACATACTCCCTCCGTCCCAAACTCATTTACACTCTTCAAACAACGTTTAAAATCCTACCATTTAAAAATGATTTTATCCATAAACTGGTATAAAAATAGAAAGTACAAAATACACATTTAAAAACTACATCAAAAGTTCTACAAAACAAGATGCGACAAGAACATTTTATATTTATCAAAGTTATGGAGAGACTCAAATAGTAAAAGTGAATCATTTTGGGGTGGAGGGAGTATGATAAATTTAATTAAACCGACTAATAAACTTTGAAAGCATAGTATGGTTCATGGTTTAGGTCAATTGTATCTTACCAAAATTAAATAGTTCAACATTAGTCAAGCATGACTTTTATTTTTGAGACAAAGGTAGAAGATTTAAGCTACAAAAGCAATAAAAAAATAGACACGTACTCCTATTTCATGTAGTTTTACCTTCAGACTGAACAAGAAACTTTTCCCACAAAGGACTCAAGTTGGTACCCACAAATGTCCTGCATAGATAAGGTTATACACTTATACCATTAAGTTAAGTAGGACGATAACCTCTTTCAAGGTCTCAAATGTTGGCAAAAGGCGCAAAGGAAAAGTTGCAGACTGACATTTCTCTCTGCAAGCCTAGAATGATTTTGTGCGTATAAGGTTATACACTTTCTAGGCTTGCAGCATTCCACCCACCTCAGTATCTATTCACTTGAGAGAAATAAATGAAAAGTTAAAGAGGCAATGGATTGATAGAGTGGATAGACAATGAGAACCTATAATCCGTGAGACCAAGATGAAGGCAAACATGAGGCTCTTGCGGAGATCCGATGATAGAATTGAAAATGTATCCTCCATACTGGAACAATAAGTACTTTTACTACTAGAAATCATTGCATTTGTAAAAGTAAACATTAGGCGCTAAGATGACATTTATAGTGTTTGGAGAAATGCCAAAAAATATATACTCCGGGGTATACGAGAATTGATGGACCAAATTATCTGTGTTTCCTGAACTGCAATATTTGCAAACCATGTAAAAGAGAAGTTACATACCCTAAACTTTAGACCATTGAACAATGATGGGCTTTGTTGAACTCTTTTCTCCCATACCTACACACATACACATTCTAAGAGGAGTTGATACATTATAATGTGTCAGGAAGTATGACCAAAACTATTTACTCCATATAAGATTGTAGAAAAAGAACACAAATGAACAGGAAGAGTTGCATGAAAAAAAATCCTAAATTTGCACAAACGAGGCGGGCAGGTTAAGTCATCCGCATCAACTTCATATAAGTACAAACCAAAGAGTACTCTCCCTCCATCCCAAAATGATGCTTATATCTTCTTTTTAGATATGTTAAGCTTCCTTACTTTCCAATTAAGGAAAGGAAAATGTGGCGCTGAAGATTTCTCTCACCTCTACATATATTTCAATCACACATTTTTTTTTCCAATCTTTTTCTTAAACTATGTGAAGTCAAATTGCAAACTTGTTTTGGTATAGGGGAGTAAAACTTATCAGATTCCTCCTGTCTTCTGTAAAATTGAACATTTATGAAATGGCACACAAGTTTTAAGTCTAGTACGAACCTATGTTCATTGTTCACGATTTCACACGATGAAACTATATCTTCTTTCATTGCCTTCTTTCTTTCATCATTTAGGGAAATAAAATAGGTAAGCATTAAATATACATTAAAAAACCACAGAAAACATAGTAGTGTCCGATTGAGAAATTGCGACAAAGCAGAATGCTAACCTCGGAAATGGAACCTTCCAGTATAGGATCTCGATGCGGAACCCTATCGTACAATTGATCGAAAGCCACAGACATCTCCATTCATTCGAAACCAATAGAATCAACAATTCGAATAACAGAAACGTAAAGGAGAAAGGTCTGAAATTAAGGTATACCTGAGAAGGAGAGATGCCGGAGGGGCACGAGAGGAGAAGCTTGAATTCGCTTCCGTCGGCTTTCTTCTTCTCCATTATACATTGAATTCACATGCCCCCATTTTCTCTCTAATAACTGCTGCAAAGCTACGTGAAAAATGAAGGTTTCATTGAAAAAAGATGAAGGAGACGAGTCAGTTGATGCTTGATAGTTCCGAACAAAGCCCATGACAAATGCGCAGGCCCAATTTCTTTCGATGAGGTAGCCCAAGTCTAATTTCATCTCTCTCTGTCTTGGGTAAAAAAAAGTAAGTATTGTCATATCTATTCTCATTTACTCCGTTTTCTTAAAAACAATCTCTCTAGATAGGAGTAAAAAGGTATGAAAATATTAAAGTAGAAGTTTTAAGTTTTTTAAAAACAAAATAGAAATATAATGATAGTTTGGTATAAAAGTACGTATCGACAGTGTAATGGAAAAACGATGATGATGTAATTTGGTAGTGTGATCAATCAACCATCGATGATCTCTTACGGCACTCTAGTGGCTGGCGACGACGAATGCATGGGTGGCCCGGAGGGTGTGCAAAGTAGCCAACCGCATAGGGCCCCTAAAATTTTAGGACCCCATATTTTTAAATTCTTCATTAATTTTGAAGCATAAGTATTCTAAAATAATAAAATAGGGCTCAAAATGAAAATTTCGGACCGGACCAATTTCATTTTTTCATTTTTTGAGGCCGACCATGGACGAATGACAGTGTGACATTAATAGTCTGGCAACTGTAGTGTGACAATGTAGTAAGTGTGATAGTGTCACAATAGCAGTGTAAACTCCTGCTTTGGTCGTCTTAAACTCATATTTAGATTTTTTCATAATTTTTTATTCTTATCTAAACAGTTCTCCCATTCTATTCATGTTTTGATTTGAGACGGATTTTTTTAATAGTTTGATGACTTTCTAATTATATCCCTACCATCGAAGAAAAAAGAGATAAATCAATTAAATAACTTATTACATCAATACAAACTGAACGAAGTATATTACAACAATTTTATATGGATATATAAATCTTTTTTTTACAAAAATGGAAGTGCTCTCGGAAAAACGAAAGAAATGGAGGGACTATTTTTATAAAGGGAAGGAGTAATTAGAGTCAATCATAATGTTTGAGATCCATATATATGAGTACACAATCACATCAGATTATATACTCCCTATTCTTTTTTACAAAAAAAAAATCAGTATATATAACGTTCTAGGATAGAGCTTTCTTGCATAGAACTAAACTATCATTTTTCAAGTGGTTTGAGATCAATAGGTAGCTTATATTTATCACTTTGTCAGGGGTACATTTAATTTGTCCTTTACTGCCAATCTTTAAATTGCCCATGCAGCAATGTATGTGTATGTATGTATATGTATATGTACGTGCTTCCTTTACGTTACCAATAGTAAATAGTACATATTTATGGGACGCAGTTCGTACAAGGGCCTAGCCTAGTGGTCAGATTTGTAATGGGCCGGGGATCCATCGGATATCTCTCTAATTTTGATTTGATTAGAATAAATTTTAATCTGGCCTGATCTGAATGTAAAATAAGTTATTCTCTCATTAATTTTTTGAGAATTTAAGCAGAATGATATTTTTGTGTTGACTTTCTGAAAATACTCTTGATGTGAAGGTAAAAGTAGGATGTGATAGATAAATTATTAGTAAAAAAGGTATGATGTGATAGGTAAGGTAAGAATTATTATTGTTAAAAATTATTTTTTCATAGAAAAAGAAAGGAATTTGTGGAACAAGAAAAAAGGGTAAAGAATTTAAAGGACGAAGAAGTATATAGTATCATAGACAAACTCAGAGCACTTGAAGCCCTAGCTAGTCACCTACACTATGTTTGGTTCAAGGATTTTGAAATGAAAAAGAAAAGAAAATGAGATGGAAAATAGCATTTCTTGTTTGGATAGAAAAGAAAAGAAAAAAAATGGAAAAAAAGAAATGAGAAGACAAAATATATTAAGAGGAGGGAAAATCAAATTACTCCCATTTTGGTGAGGAAAATGAGAGAAAACTATTTTCTTTTCTTTTTCTTCCAAATTCCTTGAACCAAACATAGTGCTAGAGACTTTGAATTTACATCATGAATACCCCACCAAGATGTATTCACTCAAAAGTCCAAACTACTCCATTCTTCTCAAAAAAAGTTTTTCTTTGAGTTTAACAAAATAATAATAATAATAATAATACGGTCGAAATTGATAAAAAAAAGAGAGAAAAATGTTGAGCAACACAAATATTTCTAAAATTACTAAAATTGGAATGAAAAACAAGTCCCTTATTTAAGAGGGGTATAATAAATTAAACAATATTTGACCAAGTGTGTATTTATAATTAGAAGCTTCTTTTGTAACAAACCAACAACCCAAACACTTTAAATGCACACAAATGATACAATATGCATTATTTATTAGGTGAACAGTGTCACACTTTGTCCATCTCTAACATACTTATGTCACATGATGACAACTATTTTATGCAGAAGTTTCCTAGCAAAATGCATATATCATCACTAGCTGTATGTATATATCATCATCAACACCATGCTATATATAGTATATATAATGACTTACAATTCTTTGTAATTAATGACAATAACAATTAATAAAATGAGTATAAAAATCACTGGAACATATATATAAATAATTTAAGAAAAAAGGAATTAATGATATACTAAATTCTTAATGAGTATTTAATTTGCTGATTGGCGATAAAAGTCTTGTGGGGGAGTAAAAGTGGCTGGATCTTCATTTTGGAGCCAACCATACTTATCCAAGAAAGGGTTGGTTAGGGTTTTAGGTGGATAGGCATCAATGCAATCTTCCCATACATTTGCATCTTCCAAGTCTTGAACCACTTCCCACAAACAGCTGTTGCACTTAAAGCCAGCCCCAAAGCTGATCATGAACACCCTATCACCCTTCTTTAGCCTCTTCTTAGCCTCCATGTAGGAGAGGACATACCATAGGCTCCCCGCCGACGTGTTCCCAAATCTGTGGAGCGTCATCCTGGCTGGCTCCAGGTCGTGCTCGCTCAAGTTCAGGCTCTGGCCAATGCCGTTGATCACCGCTTTCCCTCCCGTGTGGATGCAGAAGTGGTCGACCCCGGTCTTGAAGTTGATGCTGGTGCGGGCCCCGCCTTTCGTCGGGGACCGGGTCTGTAGTTTGTGGTAGAGTGAAACGATCCCGTGGCGGACGAGTTCGCGGATGGGCAAGATTTTGGGGGTGATTTCTTTGAGGTTGTCCACGAAAGCCTGGGTTGCAGCCTTGGGAAGTGATTTCTGTAGTAAAAACCCGATGCGCCCCTGTTCATCCTCTTGTTGTATGCAACAACCGTACGATTCGTCTTTTGCACCGTGGTGCGTCCGGACTAGGCATTTCAACTTGAACATGGCTTTTTGCTTTAAAGCCACCTTGTTGGTGAGGAGGATTGCACATCCACCTGACCTGAACAAGCAATTGGTAAGAATCATGGACTTAGCGTTCCCCGAATACCAATTCGGGCTCAACGACTCTGAAGTCAAGACAAGGGCATACAAGTTCTTGTGAGTCTTGAACAAGTTTTGGACCAAATTGACGGATATGAGACTAGCGCTACACCCCATGCCCGAAAGGTTGTACACCTTCGTGTCGGGTCTCATTTTGTAGCGGTTCACAATCCGAGCTGACAACGATGGCATTGGAGCAAACATGGATATGTTCACCACCAACACGTCGATCTCCGAGGGCGAAATGTGTTGCCTCTCCAAGACCTTGTCGATTGTGTCGTAGAAAAACTCTTCCATCTCCACGATCGCGTCCTGGTGGGACGCGACCTCTTCCCGGCCTTCCAACACGACCCGCGGGCCATACGTCTGCTCGCCAATGCCAGCGCTGACGATGGCCTTTAGGAGGAACTTGTACTCGTTCAACCCGAGATTCTTGTTCCTCCAAATCAAGTCCCCGCTCGACTTTGTCGTCAACATTCGGTCATCCGTGGGCTTGTAACATTGGTAGTCCAAAATGTAACAATTTTTGTGCCTCTTTCCATCTATTATCTTCCATATTAGGAAGAAGAGGTAGGAGAGGGGGAGGAGACACACCACTAGACAGGGAATGGAAGCCATATCCATGAGAAGATAGGATTATTAAAGGAATGCCAAATAGAGAGGTGAGAGAGATAATAAAGAATGTTGGGGTTTGATGTGGCTTCAAGCTTTAACTGAAAAGCTATATATATATATATACGGAGTTTATATGTAGGATGAGGTGTTCTATCGTGTAAAAGGTCAACTTGACATTATTAAATTTATTTTTTTTGTATCATATTATTATGAGAATTTATTTTTGGATGTATATATACTTGTATGACTTTGCATTGTTTTGGTGTTATTGAATATAGTCCTTCCGGTTTTAAAGAAAAAGTGGTTTTTATACTTTGAAAACTCTATACTCTCTTTGCCTTTAAATAAAAAATATACTCCCTCCGTTTCTTAAAATCCTTCCTCTTTCATTTTTTTGTTTTTTTAAAACACTTTCCTTTTCTATTAAAAAACCACTTTTACCCCTACTTTTTCATACCATATCTATCACATCATACTTTTTCACTAATAACTAAACTATCACATCTTACTTTTACCCATCACATTAGAGGCAAAATTGGAAAGTCAACTAAAATTACACTTTCCTTATTTTTTCTTAAAGTCAAAACAGGAACCGTATTGACCTTTTCAAATATAGTAATGTATTTTTTATTTCTCAATATAATATCACTGGTTATTGTCCATTGGGGTCATTGTTCAAGTAAATGTTCAGCGCCATTGGACATTGTTTAAACTAAATGTCCACCATCACTGAATATTATTCTCACTACTAGACATTATTCAAGTACTATTTAGGAATGAAAGAGTATAAGTACTACATTGAAAAAGAACATATGTTTAATTACTATTTAGTACAAAAATCTTGAAACCATTTTGTGAAACAGAATATTTTTTTAAAAAATAATTTTTGTGAAACTCTAGCCGGAATCCGGTCAAAATAGATTACTACCTTCGTTCCAGAATATTTGTCACGTTTTGACTTTTTTAAGTCAATCGTTTTTAACCTTTGAGCTATAATTAAATAAAATATATATTGTATATTAATTACATAAAATAATATTTTATATAATAAATCTAATAAAGCTAGTTTTGTATCAATATCTATTATCATTTTTATTTAAATTAGGGTAAAAATTTATTAATTTTAA